CAGGCTGGGCCCGGAGGGCGCGGCGCCCTAGGGGCCGCCGAAGGGCTCCCCCGGATGGCCCTTCTCCTGGGTTCCTGGCGGCGAACCCGAAGTTCACGCGCGTCTGGCCTTTGTCTCTGGATCCGTGGGCTTGTTCTGTGCGCGCGCGCGCGCGCGCGTGTGTGTGTGTGTGTGTGTGCGCGCGCCTGTGTCCGAGGAGGGTTCTCTCCGGGTGGGCCCGCCGCTGGGAGTCTGCCCTGTGCGCGCCTGTGTGTGTGCGCTTCTCGGCCTCCGCGTGTCCGGGCCTGGCCCCGGGTGCCTGCCGGCCTTGCTGCTGGTGTCCGTCCTGGGGACTGCCTGTCCCCGTGCGTCGGGTGGCAGTGGGGGAGTCTGAGTTGTCCCAGGCTTAGGGGCTTGTTCTGCCCTCAGTGGGGCAGGAGGGCTACCAGTCTGGAGCTTCCTCCCTCACCTCCTGCCCTGGAGGGCCCCCTGATGCGCTAGGGGCTGGAGGGCACCCCCCAAGGTTCGCTCCGCAGAGCCTGAGGAGCCCAGCGTCCTGGGAGATGGGCAGTGAGGCTCCAGGTCCGAAGGTCTGCGGGAACCCAGGATCCAAAATGCACCCCCACTGCAGGGCTGAACTGGGAGACTGTGCTCACACATTTATTCGCTTCTCCTGGGAGCAGCACAGGAGAGGTGCTATTCTTAGCCCATTTTACAGGTGAGAAAGCAGGTACAAAGAAGTTAAGTGACTGGTAGGTGGTACAGCTGGGGTGCCAACCTGGGCCGTGTGGTTCTTGTGGGAGGCCTCCAGAGGCCTCTTGGGCATAGCACCCCTGGACAGGGGGCTGGGGCACGGCTGGCCAGGGATCGTGAAGGCTGCCTGCTGAGAAGCTGACACTGGAGCACGAAGGGTGGGGCCTCCCGAGGAAGTGCAGCCTCTGTGCTGAGCCCCTGGGGTGGGCAGTTTCTGTCCTGGCTGCGGATCAGCCTTATGCTCTCACAGATGTGGTGCCAGCCAGCCTCCAGCTGCCGCTGTTCCTGGGACCTCATCCTGCACCCGAGGCAGGACTGGGGACTGTCCCTGGGGCCTCGTCCTGCACCCGAGGCGGGGGGGGGGGACTTTCCCAGGATTAGCGAGGCAGCAGCCATGTCTTTCTAGGCTGGAGGACTGGGAGTGGAGGGAGGCCTCTGCAACCCAGACCCTGGCACCAGCTTTGCGCTTTGGGCCTCTACCCCTGGTCTAGTGCACTCTGGGTTCTCAGCACCAGGAGCAGGGACTGTCTGGCTTCCTGGGCCCCCAGCTGGTGGGTGGGGTCCACACTGATGGGCTGACACAGGCTTAACATTTAACTAGCCCACGCCCCAGGCCGGCTTTCTGATACCGGTGCCTGCTGACCGGAGGTAGTGCAGGATGGGGTCCCCGGGACGGGAGTCTGCCTGCTTGCCGCAAGGACTGCTGGGACTTCCTGCCTCCAGACAGGAGGCTGGGAGTATCAGGTTACCAAGGAAACCAAGTCAGGCCAGCCAAGGTCTGGAGAAGGACAGGGCCGGGGAGTCCCTGATCCCTCACATACCTTGGGCTCTAATGGTCCTCCTGCAGTATATGTGTGTGTGTGTGTGGGGGGGGGCTAGGTAGAGAGGAGTAGTCCTAGTCCTCCAGAGATGCCCTATCCCAGCCTCCCCAACCAGAATTGATGGGCCCGCTGGGTATCTTCCGGGGTCCTCTGGCTCTGCTGCTCATACCTGGGGCCAGCGTCCCAGGCCTTGGGAGATTCCCTCGTTTCGAGGCAACTCTCCTGCATCTGAGAAGGGAAACGGGCGTGGAGGCCTACTAGCTGCGTATACAGGACTCCCCGGTCCCTGGCAGCGTGGCTGCAAGAGTGACCCTGGCCTGGCTTCCGTATTTCAAGCAAGTCAGATTTGCTGACCCTATTCTAGAGCTCCCCAACCCAGCAGCTTCTCTGTGCTCTGGTGACAGGCCAGAGGTCAGACGCTGGAGGAAGGGCTGTCTTCCCTTGTTCTGGGCTGTCTTCCGGCTCTGCTCTGGGGCTGGGGGATGGCATGCTGGGACTTGCAGCACAGTCCTAGCGTGGTGGGAGAGGTGGGCGGCCAGCATCCTACGCTGTCCCTGTCAGAGACGGACCTGGGCCCCCCCCTTCCGGGGCTCCCAGTCTGGATGGAAGGTCCAGGGCTTGTTCAGGGCACGTTGCAACTGCAGGCAGGACCCAGAGGGCCGCACGGCCCTGGCCAGGAGCGCCGTTGCTGTGCAGCCAGTGAGGGAGGGCTTCCTTACAGGGCTGGCTCCGGCCTCCCAAGTGGACTCTGGGGAGTGGGTGGGGCAGGGAAGTTCCAGTAAAATGTTGGGACTGCTTGTCTTCCTGGTCCTGGTTTCTGGCTGTTGGGAGGAAGGGCCTGCCCAGAACAATGGCCGGAGCCAGGCCAATGGGTCAGCTCAGTGGGGGAGGAGTGGCCAGGGCGGTACTGTGTCTGTGCAGGGGCTGAGCCAAGCAGGGCGGTGACCCGGCTCTGCTTCCTTCCTAGATGCCGCTGTCTGTCCTGGGAGCCTGGACTGCGCCCTGAAGAGGCGGGCACGGTGCCCCCCGGGCGCGCACGTCTGTGGGCCCTGCCTTCAGCCCTTCCAGGAAGATCAGGAAGGGCTCTGTGTACCCAGGATGCGCCGGCCTGTGGGTATGGGAGAGAAAGAGGTCCTCCCCCCTCCCCTGTCCTGACACATTCG